CGGCAGAGGCCGCAGCTCCCGCGCCACCACCCTTTTCCGGTCCTGCGACACCCTCCGCGATCAACATGTTGTCCAACCTCATTAGCTGCGGGTCGGGCGGTTCCTCTTCCTGAGTATTTCGTAAAGATAGGACTGAAACAGTAAAAAATCGCCAAAGCTTTGATATAAAATGTATCATACTTGTGTCAATTATGAACGATCGAACGAGCAAAGTTCGATATGAACGTAGAAACATCGCGCCGGATCTTTCCCTAATTATCAAAATCTTTGACTAAGCAAGAAAAATATTAAAAGCATTCCCGTGTGATTGCAGGCGCATCGAAGTGGTTGACTTTGCTATCGTGACAATTTTTCTCGACGGACGAGGAGCAACGGCGAACCCCTAGCGCGAGATCGTGTTTCCACGAGAAAAGAGACAGAGCAGGTTGGGAAAAGTCGCGTGCGTTTATCGATCATAAAAGAATCAATTTTACTTCGATGTTCGCTCGTATCTTCATCCCGGTCTCTCGATCCTTTCGTTCCTTTTGTCTTAAGGGCCGATGCACGCAGTGCTTTAAAACGGGGGTGGTTTTCCACGGTATAACAGTGGTTTTATCGTACTTTTACGGCGCATGATGGAGCTGGACGACCCATAAAACCACAGAGAGCGAGGCACTTTCTCTTTCCTTTTCTTTCCTTCCGTTATTCGCCTCGTGTGACAGTTCTTCCAGAAAGATGCATCTTTCGACAGTTTTCACCCCCTTCTTGCTACATAAACCAACACGTGCACGCACGAGTAAGCACGGCGAGGGGATGAACGACAGCCCAGGAAACTCGTGCAAACTGCCGCGAGATATACTTCCCCACGGAACCGATTATTCTTCCTGTGATTTTAAAAAGTGACGAGTACGTTGTTTGTCGAGCAGGAAAGTTAGCCAAAACAAAGACTCGGGCGTGAAAGTAGCTGTTTGGAGAGAAACTCGTCGCGGTACTAAAAAGGCATGCGAACGTAAACGAAAAGACGAATGTCACTGAACGATTGTGACTATCGATAGAAGAAACGAAAGAATTAAAAATATAAAAAGCCATTCAAATAGCTTGACTAAAGTAAGAGTCAAATAAAATACTACGTTGCGTTTTTGAACGAACGACGCGATGTTTCAACCCCACGTATCCCTCGACTGAGATTTGAAGATTGAATTAATTACATTTGCGGTTATTTGAGCGGCATTTAAATTCGTTAGGACCTTTCTCTCTCTCCCTCTTTCTCTCCTGACTCTATATAGTTCCTGGTTACTGGGAAAAAAGTCTCCAGAGACGAAAGAGAAACGAAGAAGGGTGTGAAAGTTCGCCGGGATTCGTGGGACCGTGAAACGAATGCGCGGAACTAATGCATTTATACGAAGTGTAACAATTAGGTCTGCCGCGCCGGCGAAGGGGTTGAAGTTTCAAATTCCTCCAGGGACTTGACTGAAAGGGCGAAGACACAAAGTCGATCACTGGGGAACCGTTTCTTTGAGAAAGATGTTACTACGGTTACGCGCTGACTCTGTCAGTGCCTTCCCGTTCGTTAACGAATCTCCCTTACACAAGGGAGAATCGTCCTCAAACTTCCCCCGTTGATTCTCGAGAAAGCTGAATTTGGAATCCGGTTGGTTTAGCGGTGGCGAGCTAACTTTTTAAGATCGTTACGAAAAGTTCTATATATTCGATAACTAAAAAGAACGTTTGCAATGCGATACGGAAGATGTTGCGAACAAGTAGTCGCCAGTTTTCGAGGACGAGTTAGGGGGAGGAGGTTACCAGCAGTCGGCAGGATATCGTTAAAACTTTGCTGGCCGTGGTACAGCGGCCGAGAACTTTTCACGCTACTGTTGGTAATTAAAAATGAAAAACCTTCACCCGCGTCGTTCGCTCAGGTAGCAAAGAAATAAAACGTACGTTTACGGTGATGCTGTAAGGAGGAAGTTGTTCCATTGAAAGTTAAACGATCGTCAACTATCGGCGGTACTTTCGTTTATTTCATGGCAGGAGAGGTTAGCTACCGAGGTCTATCGAAACTTGCAACATTTTTCTGGTCGAACGCATCTTGGACAATTTAAATGACACGTAAAATATGGAAATTATCTCCAGTTACAAAAATAAAATCCACGCGGAAGCGTCTTAGAAACGTGTGGGGTTATATTTTACAGAGCGGAACAAGAGTTTGCGCATCCGTGAAAGGGAAACATGTGCCGCGGCGTGCAAAATTAAGCGCTCGACCGAAATTATTTTCGGGTATCGAGCGGGAAGAAAGTAATCGGGGGTGGCTTACGGGCAATAATCTGGCTGTTAAGGGGTGTAAGGGGAGGCCCTTGGTACCGAGTCGGCAAGGCGCAGAGACTGCTAACCTCCAGCGGGGGTCCTTACAAGCACGTAAACTCAGTTTTACTAGCAGTTAACATTTTACGACTCAAACGGTCTGCCTGACTCTGTACTCCCTGTTTCTTTCCCAGTTCCGCTCACGCGAGTACGCGTACTTTCCTGTTCCCCTCCTTCTCTGGCTTCCCGTCGGCCGTAGCACACGGATTCGTCACACGGGTTCGGGCGAAACACCGGCTATACAAAGCCGCGACGACGTAACGTTCGTCGTTTTCGAGGGTCGTTAGCGAGCGAACTACATTAATATGACACCCCGTTGAAGATCGAGCTAATTGTCCGACTAATTCGCGTGCTGTTACGCGTCACCACGACCAAGACAAAGTTTGCCTCGTTTCAAAAATCGTCCAGGCTCTGCCTGCTTCGTTCATCGGTACCGTGGCAACGATAACCATGGAATTTTTATAGATCTTTTCTACGTAATAAATCGAACCAACTAACGTTCTCCGTACTGTTCGATCAAAGATAGACGAACGATCGTATTTTGGTAATTATCTCGCAACGGAATCACGTGGATATATTTGTAGAATAAACGTGTCCAGCCAATGCGATAAATCAGATTGAGCGAACGAGCTGAACGGGGCGGGAGATTCAGGCGAACGGTCCTAAAATATGCAAGGGCTGCGTACACAGGGGCGGAAGAACGAGAGAAGGGAGAAAAGAGAAAATCGAAAATCCCTCGTCGAAACAACCCTTGGGATAATTTAGATTCGCGAAGCGGAGCCGAGTGGTGCGGAGGTATGGCAACAGCCAGAGCTGGCGGTGGAACGCCGCTGGTGTGTATTGATCTAAACGGGAACCCGTGAAAGCAATTAAGATAAGGCACGGTAACAAAGGGTTGTCGGCTGCTACCCGCTTTTCACCGTAGGAAAACAGAAAGAGAGAGGAAAGAGGGAAAGGAAATAGAAAGAGCCACGAGCTTGGTGGAAGTAGATACGCGATAGAGAAAGAACACAGGTCGAATCACCAGAGGGTCAAAAAGCTTTTCGAACGCGCGTATCGTTCTCGTACCGAGTGAGATTTCCTTTGCTGCCACGGCAACAGGAATATTTCAATTCGTTAAATAATCGTTCGATTCGTTGCCTTTGTCAAAAACACGCGGTGTATCGTGTGCAGCGAGTAAAACGATATCGGCGGGTGTAAACAAACAAAGAAGAAAATCAGTTATGATTAGTCGACGCTAATTTGTATCGTGGCAAAATACATGAACCAAACTCGCAAATTTTACCTTTGCAAACATGGAAGTAATTGTAATTAATAAAGTATGGCTGGTGGTGGGAGTATAATCGGAACTTGAATAACGACCCTATCGATTCTATCAGGGTTGGTAACGTGACACGGGGACCGGCGTTTATTTGAAATATGAATTCGCTAGAAAATCTAGGTAGGCAAACGAATACTACCGCAACACTAATCCGTTCGTCGGTTTTATAGGTTTTGCGTCATACACGCCGTTAGCATACCCTTGGCATGATGTTTCATATCGTGTTATATGCAAAACATACATTTTTTTTTTAAGAATATCGTGTAATCAAACGAATAAAGAACGCGAAGGAATACCGGAAACTGTAAATAAACGGAACCGGTCGTGTAAACCAACAAACTAAAACGCGTACAAAAAATTTACCTACGACGGTCGATATATTTTATCGACAGAACGTTCGGTTTAAAATTTAGCAGACAATCGCGTACCACCACCGTAGACGATATTTTGGAGTAACATAAAATTATATTCGGAGGGGAACATTAATACCAAGTAGATTCCACGATCCTGACCCAGTTCAACGGTGCTTCCAGACGTCTGCTCGCATCCGAAGGAATCGATTCCCAAAATCCATTCAATTTTTTCCTCCATCTCTTTTTCTCACCCTCGACCTTCTCGTAGTTCTTATACACAGCATCGCGCGCGAACCATCCCAAATGTAAGACATACCAGACCGGAAAAAGATAGAAGAGAAGAAAAGTAAGGAGAGGAAAAGAGAAAAAGGGGCTGGAATGGCTGCTCTTTTAATTCGAGGGTGAATCCGGCCGGCAGGGCTGAGCTTCTACAGGGGTGCGAAGGGAAAGATCCTAGAAGAAGACGACTGCGCGTTACCCCAGAGATCTGATATCGACACCGAGCTGTAAGAATATCCGGCCCTCTTCTGATTTACGAAAGAAATCGAGCCAAGAGGTATTCTACCTTGTTGATATCGTGTTTCGCTTCGTTACGGACGCTAGTTCTGCTCGAGTGCTTTCAGAAAGGTAGCATCGTCGCGTGTCAAGCATTATCGTATTGTCAGATCCTGAGAAAGACGATCGTTGCTACAAGTCCTTGAGCCATTTCCTTTGCGTTCTCAAAGGTAGAATCCTCCTCCTTTCCTTACCATTTACTGTTACTTGCACAGAATATCAAATCGACGCGTCGTCTAGTTAATTTGTATTTTATTTAACGAACTACGATCGCGTGAAAACACGTTGAAAAAAAAAATATATATATATAAAATAGTGAAAGAAAAAAAAAGTTAATGAAACGAGGCGTCCAGCCGAAACCGGTTTTTAAAAATTGCATACCACCGGCTATATCGCGCAGGATGTTAATATAACGTAGCGCATCCCGCGATACGCAATCTCGAATTCCTCCACGTAATTCGACGACAGAAGAAATGGGGAAAAAAATAAAAAAAGAAAAAAGCAACAAGGACGAAGAAGTAAGTAAAATATTAATTTTAATCCAGTGGTGTTATAATACTGGG